CCCCACACGGCCTGCTGTTCAGTCATTTGGTCATTCCTCACTAACTCTCCTGCTGGTCTGGTCATAGGCAGCCATCTTTTGAGGGCATGAGGGTTAATTTGCATAATACTTCTTTATTATATAGGATTATTTTCAAATAATTCTGATAATAATCCTGTTATGGACTACATGTTTGTGCCTCCCCACCAAACTATACGTTAAAGCCCTAACCCCCGATGTGATTGTATTAGGAGGTGAGGCCTTTTGGAGGTGATTTTGTTTAGATGAGATCATAAGGGTTTGCTTCTCATGATGGGATTAGTACCCTTATAAGAAGAGACTGGAGAGCTTCCTCTCTCTCTCTCTCTCCCCTGCCCCCCACCCCATCCATGTAAGAACACAGCAAGAAGCCATCAGCAAGCTAGGGAGAGGAGGATGCCTAACCAGGACCTTACCATGCTGGTACCCTGATCTCAGACTTCCAGTTTCCAGACTGGAAAGAAATAAATTTATGTTGTTTACACCACCCCATCTATGGTATTTTGTTATGGCAACCTGAGCTCACTAAGACACATTCTCAAAGCATAAAATAATTGTTTAGAGTTCCATGGATTTTTTTTTTCTTCAAAAAGCAATACGTGCATGGAATTGTAATAAATGCAATGATATCAACTAAATGGCAGCTACCAAGGTCTTTCATTACTGTGTGTAAATGATACATTTCAGAACTTAATAGGACAAGTCACAAATAAATCTATACATTTAAGCACATTATATTCATATACAAGTATTCCTCATATATCCTTTATATGGTTGATGCATATTCATTAAGTATTTGATTAGCTGTCTTGTGTTCTGGGATTCCTTTTCAGCTCTCACACACTCATGGATGCCTATTATTCCAGTTATTTAAGACTTACCTTGACCACTTGAGTATAGTTAAAATGTGAAAGAAAACCACATCTTGTTTATTTTTGAGGCAAGAACCCCTAAACCTTGCTCAACAAAGAAATATTCTTAAATGCTATAATTAAGAATCAAACTAGTCTAAAATGAGAGCTATTTAAATCTCTACAGACATCACTGACTATACATAAACACAGACTGTATGTTATAGATTATAAGGTAGAATATAATTCAGTCATATAATTAAAACTTGCAGTTGTGTTTCTTACTAGTAAATACTATAGCCAGTCTTAATATGGAATGTCAATTATATAACTATTATCTCCATTTCATAAATTATAAAATAGAAACTGAAAAATGTGTTTTACCAGTAAGACAGACCTATCTCATTAAAGCCACTGTAGCCCAGCTCTTGCCTGCTAAGTCCCAGATCTTCAAGGTCCATGCATTTAAATCCTGGTGGGCACTGGTAGCCTTCTTCTAGCTCTGGTGAGCAGTGTGTATCTGGAATAGCTAAACTATTCCAGGTCACATTTCTGTGAATAACACATGAAAAAGTTAGACAATTCCATCAATGGTAAATGATCATTAAAATGAATAATGTGTATATGAACACAGATTTAAGATTCATAAATGGCATTCATCACATTAATGGCATATTAAACATTCTCAAATGATACCTGATTTATCCCCACAATAGGTCCTTATAAGAATATTATTACCATTATTATTTTTGTCTTTAAAATTCAAGATCCAAATAAGCAAAGGAAGGACTTTTCTATAGATTTTCATGAAATATTAGCTTATCTGGGAATTCCTCATTAATCTTTACCCTACTGTGGGCATAAACTGTACTTCTCTACTTCTAAGCAATATTAGATGACAGACATTTGCCATATGGCACAGATACTACAAGTCTCATATATGGCACTTGTCCTTCTGCTGTGTTGGCAGATGTGCAGTTTGGAAAGGAACCCAGACAAATAAGATGAGATTGAAGGAACTAAAGGTATCATTTGGAAAGAGAGAGATAATCCAGTGATTTGGCCATAGCTCCAGGAATATTAAGGTTTTTTAAGGTGAAGGGTGATAATAACCCTTTTTCATCTTTCTGGAGGACAAGCAGGAGATTCAGTTGATGTAGAAAGATTTCTTGGCTTTCTTGGTGGTGGGTACAGGTAATCACAGGAATAATGATTGTGGAATCGCATTCTGAGCTGACCTTAAAAATTGGTCCTAAATGGCTGCTCTCTGAGGCAATTCACATGGACTATGTACAGGCCAAAGTTTAGGCTAGATGATTTCATAAGCCTTCTAAGCTCCTGATTTTATTCTAAGTCATTTCCACTAGAAACATCAATGTTTCTAGGCATTTCCTAAATAGGGACCAACTTTATGATTGTCTCAGTTCTCTCACTTTATGGCCAAATTGAGGCAGACTTGTTGGGTCATATTTCTGTTCTTTAGTATCTCCTTATATTCAATTGGCTGCTGTAATAGGCTTTCCCTAGAGTCTGACACGTAACTTTGTGTAATCCCTTAGCTGCTTGAGGCCACCACACATACACATATTCAGTGTCACACACACACACACACACACACACACACACACACGATGCCTGGTGATACCTTCCCCAGTTCTGTTTCAGTCATAAACAAAGCTCTCAAAGCCTCGCCCACCTCTTGGATACTCTTATACTCATTCCTTCAGGATTCTGTTAGCGGCAAGAGAGGAGGCGTGCCTATACATCTCTGGGAATAGGTGTTGAAATAACTGTTCCCTCTAGTCACATTTTAAGCTGCTCCTTTGGACTCCACATGCAAGCCCCAAGGGAAATGCTCTAATTGTGGAAATTAGAACTTTGTTTTGTCAGAAAGGTATGACTTCGGGAAGACACGTCACTTATTTCTCCTCATTTCACACTTCTATACCTAGGTCAAATGATCTATTTTCACTGAGGTCGAATCTGACTCTCTGTTTCTGGTGTGGTACCCACACCTCACACAGGAGAACAAAGTGGTAAGGAGACAGGGCTTCAGAGTTTCAGAGTAAGACTTTCTGGATTTGATCCCAAGCTCTGCCATTTACTGGCTGTGTGAACTGATTAAAGTTCTAGGTGTTTCTAAGCTCAGTTTCCTCATGGGTAAAATGGGGAGAGTAATCATAATTAACAGGGAAGCTGTGTGAGGATTAAGAAAAATTACACTCAGTAATGCACTCGGCATAGCTCTTAGCATGTTGCAAGTGCTCAATAAATGCTTACCCTATATAATAGATATTGAAATAGATATTGAAGAGGAACAAAAATCACCATGCAGATGATAATTTAAAATTCTTAGAAATCATGAGTTTACCAAAGGAAGTATAGTTCCCTGAATCATAGGAGCTGATGAGAAAGAGCTTGAAATGGGAATGAGAAGTCACAGCCCAAGAGGTAGGAGGAAAGTCTGGAAAGTGTTTGTCATCAAATCCAAAAGGTTCAAGTGTTTCAAGAAGGAGGTTGTGGTCAATATGCTTAAAGACTTTACAGAGGTCAAAATCGTCACCATAGAAAAAAATCTTATCCTATATAATAAAAGCCTAATATGCTAAGTGTCCAGTCGTCCAGTTGGCCATTCAACCAATCAAAGCATAATATGCTAATGATATGCTAAGGTTGCTCAACTGCTCACTATGACATGCACTAACCACAAGGGGGCAGACACTCTGACTAGTAGGTTAGCTTGCTGTTGGAGTCTGGCTGATCGGGACTGAGCAAGACAGGGTGGACATGCCCTGGAGCCTTCCCGCGGTCCCTCCCTGGCTGGTCAACCTCCTGCATCCCTCCCCAGCCCCAATCGTGCACCGGTGGGGTCCCTCGGCCTGACCTGTGCCTTCTCGCAATCTGGGACCCTTAGGGGGATATTGGAGAGCAGGTTTCAGCAAGATCCCGCAGGCCAGCCCGAGGAACCCCACTGGTACACAAATTCATGCACTAGGCCTCTAGTTATAAATAACTATTCATCATTATAACAATAAAATGTAGTATGCATTCTGGCATGTAAAAACACAACAAAATATACTTGTCAAAAGTATAGAAGGAATTCTGGCATGGGATACTGAAAGCATTATGTTCACAGAATTATACAGCTGATAAAAACGTTACAGATCACCCAATACTTTATATTTGAGGGAGGTGAGGTGAAGTTCAGAGAGGAAAAATTTTAGTAGCCCATCAAAATTAATAATTTTTTCATTGCCAGTACTTCAAACAATAGCCACAATGTCTGAAGAGACACTGCCTACATGAAAAAAAATTTTTTTTAATCATCTTTCAGATATTTGGATAGGAAATTGGACTCTGGAGCCATGTGACTTCACCTATCTGTGCCTCGGTTTCTTCATCTGTGAGATGGCAGGAAAATATCTACCTTATAAAGCTGAGGTGAAAATATAGATTTACATCTGTAAAGTACTTAAAATAAGTACTTGGTAGACAATAAATGCTAGTTGTTACTTATTGTTATTGATAGTTTGATATTGGTAAACTGCATAGATTAAGACCACAGTTCTGGTGTGTACTAGTACTGCCTCAGTTTCCACAACTGCACCTACTTTATAGGGGAGAGAATTTTTTTAATCATCACCTGAGGACATGCTTTCATCAATTCTCAGAGAGAGGGGAAAGGAGAGATAGAGATGATGATAGAGATAGAGATAGAGATAGAGATTATATATATATATACTAGAGGCCCAGTGCACAAAAATTTGTGCACTCGGGGGGGGGGGGGGTCCCCCGGCCC